TACGTACGGGAGTCATTAGCCTACCTAGGGATTCCTTTGTAGGGGCTCCAACCCGCCCATTGAGGATTCTCTTTGGGTTTCATCAAGCGTGGCCTCGGGGGATCCGTCCGAGTGTCCATGGCTTAGTTAGTCAAAAGGAACCTTAGCCTATAGGGTTAAGTGTAGATAAACAACGGGAACTGAATATAAATAAATAGTTTATCATTATATTTGATAATGATATTTGCTGATTCTTCTGATGTTGTATGATTATATATTGATGGGTGCTAGTTTATGAGTTAGTTCTAGCGTTAGATACTTCCACTCTCCCTATTTTTACAGGTAGAGATCAAGGATTGGATGAGGAGCAGCCTGGACAACAGTGAGGCGTGACGCTGGAGGATGGCCCGAAGCTGTTTAACTTAAATTAAATATAGTTTGTTGGATTTGTTTACTTAAATTACTAGAATGTTGAATGTTGTTTTCAAGGCTTCCGCAACGTTTGTTTTAATTACTCCGATTAAATGATGAATTATTTTCAATAAATATGAATGTTTGTTTTATTTCCAAATGTTTTTAAACTATTGTGCATGTGCATACCAAATTAGTGACAACCCGACTCGCTAACTCGTCGGTTCGGGTTACGCGGGTTGGGGTGTTACATTTTGGTATCAGAGCATGTGGTTTTAAAAACGATTCTCGGAAATAAAAAAAGTAAATTTATTTAAAAAAAACGTTACAAAAAAAACGGGCATCTACAGCTTCACGACGTCACTGCTCCAGGAGGTAAATCTGAATCCTTATTATGTGCTTATGTGAAAATTGTTAAATTGACTCGTTTGTTAATTAACATGTGGTTTATTTAAAAAAAAGGAATCCATGTGGAAAAAAAAACAAAGAAACAAGAGAAGATTGAATCGATACAAAAGTTGTTTAAAAAAAAAGGTTGGATATGAAAAAAAATAAATATTGTGAATCTAAGAAGTAAACTACAAAAAAAACGAAAAAAAAAGAAGGAAAAAAAAAGTTAGTGGGCCAATTGAAAAAAAAAGTCTTAAAAATGTATATATACATAAAGAGGGGAAAAAAAGGGGTTTTACATTTTGCCATTGTTTCGTTGATCACTGGAATGACAACCAAATTCAGAAGGGGCTGCAGACCTGGATGAATAAGGATGCTTTATTTCAGTGTCAGGCGAAATTGACAACATAAGTGATGTAAAATGTGTTTTTCTTTATTAAAAAAATGGGTTAACGTTAAATCTTGTAAAACAATGAAAACTGCATTGTAAAAAAAAAAGTAGTTTTTTTTTCGTATTTAGGATTTCAAAAAAAAAAACTGCTAACCTTTGAAAAAGGAAAAAAATTGGTGTAATAAGAGACGTAAATGTATTAACAAAACATACGAAATAGAAAAGTATTTGGATCAAATGATATTTGTTACTTAAGTAGTTAAATTGAAAGATTGCAGAATGGACCCTATCGTTAATTACGACGACGATCATCACTCTGAGGATGAGAGCGTGCAACAGAATGACCACCAAAATATGAACATGAACCGGAACGTCCCACACCAAGAGCCGCCAAATGGAGGGCCGGTTGGGGTTCCCCAGATCGACCCTGCGATGATGATGCAGCTCCTACAGCAAGTTCTGATCATGAATCAGAATGCCTTGACGCACATTCGACCACGAGAACCGAGGATCACACTCGAGAAACTGAAGAAAAATGGCGCTGAAGAATTCCTAGGCGAGAACATCGCCGACCCGTTAATTGCGTTTAGATGGATAGAGCGTGTACGACGTGTATTTGAGAATCTGAAGGTCCC